GATTTTTGGAAGCAGTTCATTTATAACCATTGGGTAGTTGAACTTTCACCCTGTCGTTTCCTCCTGACATTTCTGGGAATTGCTGGAGAGAGGGCTTTGGGGCTTATTTTAAAGGAGTTTACAGGAGGAAAGTGATAACAGACAAGGCATGCGGGTGGTTTAACACACACTTGACTTCCTGGAGAGCACTTGGTGAGGGCAGCCTGCTCCGGAAGAAAGTGGCATCAGCCTTAGGTAACTCCTTTGACTAGGAGGCAATTTCGTTTTAGTGTCTTTGGCCAGATGACAAAGAGATCTTGTAACACCTCTCAGACTGAGAGAGAGAAAAAAGTTAGTAACATAAGCATTCATAAACCTAAGTCATTTTTATCTGATATAGTAGAATCATAGAATCCTAGAGTTAGAAGAGAGGATATCAAGTGTGTGGCCTTCCAGATGTTTTGGACTTCAGCTCACAGAATTCCTGGCCACTAGACAAGCTGGCCAGGGCTTCTGGAAGTTGAAGTTGAAAACCCCTACCCTTGACTAACACATGAGATTGACTTATAGAATCATAGATTCAGAGAGTTGGAATAGACCTCATGGGCCATCCAGTCCAACCCCCTGCCAAAAGGCAGGAATATTTCATTCAAAGCACTCCTGACAGATGGCCATCCAACCTCTGTTTAAAAGCTTCCAAAGAAGGAGCCTCCACCACACTCTGGGGCAGAGAGTTCCCCTGCTGAATGGCTCTCACAGTCAGGAGGTTCTTCCTCGTGTTCAGGTGGAACCTCCTTTCCTGTAGTTTAAAGCCATTATTGCTCCATGTTCTAGTGTCAGGGCAGCAGAAAACAAGCTTGCTCCCTCCTCCCTATGACTTCCCCTCACATATTTTATACATGGCCCTCATCATGTCTCCTCTCAGTCAATAATAATAACAACAACAATAATAATAATAATAATAATACCTTTATTTATTCCCTGCCACCATCTCCCCAAGGGGACTTGGGGCAGCTTATACGAGGCCAAGCCCAACAACACATCAGTAAAAACAAAACAGCAAGCAAATAAAACAGTACAATTAATATAACTCACATATAAACAATAACACAGAGAATTTAAAAACCTTAGGCCGGGCCAGATGTAATAAATTAATTTTTTTTAAATAAACATTGGGTGTGAACAGAGGTAGGATGTATCTAAGCAGGAGGGTTTTAAAATATAATGTAGGGAGACCAACCCAGCGGATAGTAAAGCGCTTCTCAGGACAATTGCAGAGAATTAATCAGAGCAGGGTATTGTTTTCTTCTCTTCTGCGGGCTAAACATGACCAGCTCCTTAAGCTACTCCTCATAGGGCTTGTTCTCCAGACCCTTGATCATTTTAGTCACCCTCCTCTGGACACCTTCCAGCTTGTCAACATCTTCCTTAAACTGCAGTGCCCAGAATTAGACACAGTATTCCAGGTGTGGTCAGACCAAGGCAGAATAGAGGGGTGGCATTACTTCCCTAGATCTAGACACTATACACTATTTTTGCAGGCCAAAATATCATTGGCTTTTTAAGCTGCCGCATGACATTGTTGGCTCATGTTTAGCTTGTTGTCCACGAGGATTCCAAGATCTTTTTCACATGTACTGCTGTTGAGCCAAGCATTGTCCCCCATTCTGTATCTTTGCATTTCATTTTGTCTGCCAACCCGGAGCCCCCGGTGGCGCAATGGGTTAAACCCCTGTGCCGGCAGGACTGAAGACCGACAGGTCGAATCCGGGGAGAGGCGGATGAGCTGCCTCTACCAGCTCCTCATGCAGGGACATGAGAGAAGCCTCCCACAAGGATGATAAAACATCAGATCATCTGGCCGTCCACTGGACAACGTCCTTGCAGACGGCCAATTCTCTCACACCAGAAGCGACTTGTAGTTTCTCAAGTCGCTCCTGACACGACCAAAAAATAATAATTGCCTAAGTGGAGTATCTTGCATTTGTCCCTGTTGAACTTCATTTTGTTAGTTTTCACCAGTCATCTCTTTAATCTGTTAAGATCATTTTGAATTCTGCACCTGTCTTCTGGAGTACTGGCTATCCTTCCCAATTTGGTGTTGATTATAAACTTGATTATCATGCCTTCTAACCCTTCGTCTAAGTCATTAATAAAGATATAGAAAGAAAAGAACGCTTGCTCTGGAGAGCTGAAAGTTCTACATTTCTGTTCTGGACAACATAGTGAAACCACTGTCCCACCACGTCATCATCCCCAGCCACTTATGTCTAGTGGAGCCAGTTGGGGATAGCTATGGCAGAATATACATTACAAGCATAAAGGTAAAGGGTGAATCTCCATTAGCTCTGTTCAGATTCTGCGCTTTTAACTTTTAACATACAGAGCTGCCTTGCACCCAGCGCAGCCTACAGAGCATCTGTTCCCCAATCCCTGAGCTGCCTTTCAACTAAACAGCTGCTCTTTTGCTCTCCAGGCTTGTGTATCATTTACCTTTGGACAAGCACCAGCCAGGAGGAGATGCTTTTGAGAGGCCAGGAGGGTATCTGCACCTTCAAAATATTTGTATCTGAAAGTGAGTCTTTCTTCTGATCCTCCTAAATGCCTACTTACAGCTAGCAGAACCCCTACACACAAGGGGCTGTGTCTGGGGAAGCGGGAAGGGAGACGGAGTCTGTTATGACAGCCCCCGATAAGGCACAAGTGTTGACAGAAGCAATAATGAGATCCATTCACTTCTGCTCACTATCAGGTAGCAGCAGGAATGATTCTGGAATGCAAAGGCCAGGAAAATTGTGCCGATCCACACGCTCCCATTCTCTGGATTCTCTCCATTACCCTTCATTTATCAGTGAAAGTTTGGATTCTTCACATGGGAATAGCTTGAGTCTTAACATTATGCACCCCCTCCAAATTTCCTAATCATTCCCTATTTTGTTACTTTTGATCATCTGTAACCCATAATACAAACTGACCACAGAATATCTGCAGCTTTTTGGAAGTCTTATATTTATATGTTTTATTTATGATCTATACTTATACCCTCAATTTCCTCCAGTGAACGAATGTATAGTGTGCATCTCTTTCCTCTTCCCCTATTTATCCCCACAATAACTTAATGGAGTGAGTTATTTTAAGAGATAGAGAGTGTGGGACTAACCTACACTCCTGCAGTGTGTTTTGTAATGTGTGTGCAAATACTTGAATCTGAGTCTTGGCATTTTGACTTACACATCAAGCATTTTAACTTATACATTGCACCATCAATATGATGATTTGTTTTATTCTTGCTAATGTTTGCCTTCAAGTCGACCACGGTATTCTTTAGGGACGCCTCGCAGGAATGGGCCTTGGAGGTACTGTTTTGCAGTGGCTCCAGTCCTTCCTAGAGGGCCGTTCTGAGAAGGTGTTATTGGGGGACTCCTGTTCAACCCCACAACCATTGTCTTGTGGGGTTCCTCAGAGTTCAATATTGTCTCCCATGTTGTTTAACATCTACATGAAGCCACTGGGGGAGATCCTCTGGAGTTTCGGAGTGAGGTGTCATCTGTACGTAGATAATGTCCAACTCTGTCACTCCTTTCCACCTGCAACTAAGGAGGCTGTTCAGGTCCTTAACTGGTGCTTGGCTGATGTGACGGTCTGGATGAGGGCGAACAAATTGAAATTTAATCCAGACAAGACAGAGGTCCTCCTGGTCAGTTGCAAGGCCGAACAGGGTATAGGGTTACAGCCTGTGCTGGATGGGGTCACACTCCCCCTGAAGATGCAGGTTCACAGCTTGGGTGTGATCCTGGACTCATCGCTGAGCCTGGAACCCCAAGTTTCGGCGGTGACTGGGAGAGCATTCACACAATTAAAATTTGTGCACCAGCTGCGCCCGTAACTCAGGAAGTCTGACTTGGCCATAGTAGTCCATGGTAGTCCATGCTCTGGTTACATCCCGTATAGACTACTGCAATGCAGAGGTGGTTTGCCAGTCTATTCCTCTGAAATACAGCCTACAGCACCAGGTATTCCATTGTGGTCTCCCATCCAAGTACTAAACAGGGCTGACCCTGCTTAACTTCCAAGATCAGACAGGGCCTGATGCCTTAGGGTATCCAGGCTTGGTAAGAAGTGAGTTAAGAAGTGGATCAATCTGAGATAAATAGAGGAGAAATACAGTTTCAAAAGCAAGTTGGGAGGACTGGCAAGGGAAAAATAATCAATGGGATGATGATGATGATGATGATGATGACAATAATAAGATCGAACTGCAAAGACTCTGGCACAAGCCAGTAAAGGTGGTCCCAGTGGTGATCGGCACACTGGGTGCAGTGCCTAAAGACCTTGGCCTGCACTTAAACACAATTGGCGCTGACAAAATTACCATCTGCCAGCTGCAGAAGGCAACCTTACTGGGATCTGCTTACATTATTTGCCGATACATTACACAGTCCTAGACACTTGGGAAGTGTCCGACGTGTGATCCAATTCAACAGCCAGAGAGTGTCTGCTGTGGACTCATCTTGTTGTGTTTCAAATAATAATAATAATAAACTTTATTTATATCCCGCCACCATCTCCCCAAAGGGGACTTGGGAAAGCTTACATGAGGCCATCAATACAGAAAACACAATTTAACACAAAAACACAACAGAATTTCAGAAAATAACATAAAATACAAAAAGAAAGGGATCTGAAAGCAAAGGAAGGAAAAAAGTTTCTCCTAAGATAGTTTGGGGTGTTTCTATCTCTCCTGCAGAATGAATGTAGTTTGACCTCATTTGAACTGCCATGGTTCAATGCTATGGCATCCTGGGGACTGCAGTTTCTCTGCCTTCTCTGCCTCCCCAAACTATAACTCCCAAGATTCCACACCACTGAGCCATGGCAGTTCAATAGGGTCAAGCTGCATTCATTTTACAGTGGTTGACAGGCCTTGGGGAGGCGTGAGCCCTTAGCCCATGCTCAGAGGAACTCTGCTCTTTGTTTGCAAAGCCACGCCCAGCTCAGTCCAACCTGATCTCGCCCCGCCTTCAAATGCAGGAAGAGGAGCCACGCGGGTCGGCCAAAACACACTTCGAGGCTCGTATCCCTTTAAGAAGATTGGTTTGATCCTAATAGAAGACCCTTAATATTGCTCTATTGCTGCAGGGAGATTCAAAGCATTACAGTCTCGCGCTCTTCCCAGGTGGAAACTGGGAATTGCAGGGTTAAAACACCAAAACAACAAACTACAGTTCCCAGAAGCCCATGCACAGGAAATGATGGAAGAGCGGGGTGTGAATCCGGGTTTGCTGGTAAGTGTGCGTTGGAAACGGAGGGCTTGCAAGGGGGATTCAAGGAGAGCCTGGGTGTCTTGGAAAGAGGTCTCCCCTTGCTTTCAAAAGGGAAGATCTCTCCCAAGGAAACTCACTCTCTCCTTTGATTCACCTTTTTTCCCCCTTTGCAGGAAGTGCTAAAGGTTGAACGAGGCTACAAGAGCACCTACACAGCAGAATTAATGCAGTTTGACACCACTTTAAGTGCCTTGGCTCGGTGGTATGGTCGTCTGGGATTTGTAGTTTGGTGAGGACACCAGCAGTCTTTGGCAAACAAAGCTAAGGGCCTTATAAAACTAGAATTTCCATGATTCCATAGTATGGAACATTTAAAGTGATGTCAGACTGCATTAACTCTATAGTATAGAGTAGATGCACCCTTGGAATCTGCCATACAAGAAAATCCCATAGTTTTGAGCATTTAAAGTGAGGTCAAACTGCATTAACTCTATAGTGTAGAGTAGATGCACCCTTGGAATCTGCTGGAGAGGAAAATCCCATAGTACTGAGTATCTAAAGTGGGGTCAAACTGCATTAACTCTATAGTGTAGAGTAGACGCACTCTTGGAATCTGCCATACAGGAAAATGCCGTAGTACTGAGCATCTAAAGTGGTGTCACACTGCATTAACTCTATAGTGTAGAGTAGACACACCCTTTGAATTTGGTGGAGAGGAAAATCCCATAGTACTGAGCATCTAAAGTGGTGTCACACTACATTAACTCAATAGTGTAGAGTAGACGCACCCTTGGAATCCACTGTACAAGTAGATGCACCCTTGGAATCTGCTAGAGAGGAAAATCCCATAGTACTGAGCATTTTAATTGGTGTTAAACAGTATTAACTCTATCGTGTAGATTCACCTAGAAATCCACTGGAGAGGAAAATCCCAAAGTACTGAGCATTTAAAGTGGTGTCAAACTACATTAACTCTATAATGTAGAATAGATGCACCGTTGGAATCCACTGTACAAGAAAATCCCATAGTACTTTAAAAGTGGTGTCAAACTGCATTAACTCTGTAGTGTAGCTGCACCTTGAAATAAAATAAAAAAGAATTTGGCTAGGGCATTTCACCAACAGAGAACAAGGTGCACCAGTCAAATATTTTATTTGACAGTTATTAAAAGGTTGTCTGTCCTGATCGGCCTTTCCACATAGTCAACCTCTAAAGCAGGCGTGGGCAAACTTTGGCCCACCAGGTGTTTTGGACTTCAACCCCCACAATCCCTAACAGCCAGGTTGACCTGTACAATCCATACATTCTGTCATTAAAACGGTCCATTTGGAAATTGGGTTATTTTGTTCTTTGAATGCTTCTCCACAAAGGGAATCATAGGTCCCTTCCATACAGGCCCTATATCTCAGGATCTGATCCCAGGTTTTCTGATTTAACCTGGATTATATGAGTCCACACTTCCAGATAATCTGGGTTAAACAGAATACCTGGGATCAGATCCTGGGATATAGAGCCTGTCTGGAGGGGCCCAAAAGAAAACTTTGCATCCTGTGCATTGATTATGGAAATAGGAAATTTGTTTAGTTGATCTTGTTTTGCTAAGAAAAGAAGTAATGTCCTGTTTGGACACTTTTGCATATCTGTGCCGCTCATTTGCATAGGCAAAGGCATAATGCCATGAAATCCTGCCCTCTGGCAAATCTCACTTGGCCTCTGTTACAGCTCTAGTGATGCCATCAAATAGTGTGTATTTCAATGTTTATTTTTCCAGCCAGGAGTATTAGGCTCTCACATTGTCATATAATTCAGATCATCAAATCCACATTATCTGTTTTGAACTGGATTATATGAGTCTACACTGCCATATAATCCCGTTCAAAGCAGATAATCTGGTTTTTATATGGCAGTGTAGAAGGAGCCTTAGGCTATGATTATTAACAGCAGACTATTTTGTCCAATAGGTTGGTAGCAGCTGCTGCATCACTGCCAGTAAATAAAATAAATAAGCTTATGTATGTGGGATGGGGCAAGCTTATTTTCTGTTGCTCTGGAAATTAGGGCACAAAGAAATAGATTCAGATTGCAGGAAAGGAGATTCCACCGAAACATTAGGAAGGACTTCATTACAGAAAGAGCTGTTTGGCAATGGAATATGCTGCTCTCTCAGAGCGTGGCTGGATGGCTATCTGTCGGGGGTGCTTTGATTGTGTATTTCTGCATGGCAGAATTGGATGGCCCTTGGGGTCTCTTCCTACTCGATTGCATCCACTACCAATATCAGAGATAATTCCCTATTCGCTGCACAAATCTGAAAGTTCGATTTCAAGAATGGTCCATTTTCAGACTCCAAAAATATATCCACAACTAGCCATGAAATGAAGTAAGGGCCAATATAGTTAGGCTTCCAGAGATAGATAGATAGATAGATAGATAGATAGATAGATAGATAGATAGATAGATAGATAGACACATACACACATATATAGACAGACAGACAGACAAACATACTGTCTGCCCATGAGCACAGAAGTGGCCACTCATGGCATACCACTGGAAATATATTAGTCCTGGATTCATCACCAGTTCTCTGTCATACACTCCCACATTTGTCAGCGGATGGCATTGATTCAAATCATATGAGAGCATTTCAGCAAAAAGCAAGTGTGGACACGCCAGTCCTGAGAGGCCAGGTAGTTGACAAGCCTTACAAAGGAATTTTGGAACACCTTATTTTCTATATTTCTTTCCCTTGTGAACTACTGGAAGAAACATGCTATTCTGTTCAGGGAGATTTCCCTGCACTTTCATAATTCGTTGGATATGTTGCCCAATTTCAGTTGATGTGCCTTCCCTGCTCCCTGTCACTCTTTTTGTTTTTAAATGGCATCACACCCTGTTTAGCCTGTGCAGAAGACACTTGCCCAGATGGCTCAAAGTGACTAGATGTGGAAGCATTAGTACGCAGTTGATGATCATCTTGCAGTATGAAACCCTCATTTCTGCATTTCTTGGTTCTTCCTCCCATGGCCCTCTTTTTACCTTGGACCGCAAGAAGATCCAACCAGTCCATACTTCAGGAAATAAAGCCCAACTGCTCATTGGAGGGAAGGATAATAGAGGCAAAGATGAATGGCCACATCATGAGAAGACAGAAAAGCTTGGAGAAGACAATGATGCTGGGGGAAATGGAAGGAAAAAGGAAGAGGGGCTGAACAAGAGCAAGATGGATGGATGGGATCCTTGAAGTGACTGGCTTGACCTTGAAGGAGCTGAGGGTGGTGACGGCTGACAGGGAGCTCTGGCGTGGGTTGGTCCATGAGGTCACAAAGAGTCGGAAATGACTGAATGAAAGAACAACAACAGAGACCAGGACACAAGGGAGCAATTGTTTCAAATGGCAGGGAACAGGATTTGACTGAAAAGGTTAGGAAGACCTTCCTGAGAGTAAGAGTTGTCAGAGAGTGGCATAGGCTGCCTCAGAGTACGGTGGAGTCTCCTTCTCTGGAGGCTTTTCCGCAGATAGATATCTGAACAAGGGTACAATTTTAAATCCAGTTCCTTTCCTGTTAGATCCAATGGCATTTGAAGGACAGCCTGTTTATCACAGTGACTTCAGATTCCCCATTTGCATAAATGACTGAAGCGCTTCTTCATAATTTAGAGCAAATACCTTTCCTCAATGCCCGTCTTGCAGACCCAGGATTGCTCTGAGAGCAGTAGAGAGGAATGGAGGAAGTTTGGCTGTAGAAACCCAAGACCAGGACGTTTGCTCACCTGCTGAGGAAATGTAACTCCCTGAATGATGCTTTGTGGGGGAATACCTTCCTTCCCCCCTTCCTTTCTCCCCAGCCGCTTGTTAAATGCTCAGGCATGCTGGGATTCCTCTGCCAATGAATGGGATGTTGTTAATTTGTGCTCTGAGAGCATGGAGTTCCCAGGCTGTTAACGTCCAGGCCTTCGTAGATTTACACCCTCTGCAGTTGGCAAGGCCATTAAATCTCCAAGCAGCCATGGCCTTTTATGAGATGAAGTTCCTTCAGAAGGTTTTGAAATAGACCCATAGAGTGGGAGGCCCCATTTGTCACACACCATCCTCTGGGGAAAAGGTGGCTTGAGTGAGCCTGGACATTCCCTTTTCATTCAGCTCTTTCCCCAGATAGTTTTGGAATCTCTCTCCTATAAACTTTTTCTATGTGCTTTATTTCCTCACTCTGAAAAATGTATTTATGGTATTCATTTGTTGGGTTGTTGTAGGTTTTTCGAGCTGAATGGCCATGTTCTAGAAGCATTCTCTCCTGACATTTTGCCTGCATCTATGGCAGGCATCTTCAGAGGTTGTGAGGTGCAGGCGATACATCAGGAGAGAATGCTTCTAGAACATGGCCATACAGCCTGAAAAACCTACAACAACCCCAGTGATTCCGGCCATGAAAGCCTTTGATAATACATTCATTTGTTGCTCTTTACCTTCAAATTATTTCCAGCTTATGGTGAGTGTGTCACCCACCTAACATCACCCAGTATGTGTCCATGGCTGAATGAGGTTACAAATGTTGGTCTCCAGAGTTGTAATTCAATGTTCAAACCACTACTCTTTACTGTTTCTCATAAGCACTCCAACACCTGTCTGGCTAGAGGCATTGTAGCAACACTTTGGAGCCATAGAAGGTGCTTGATGTGGCTTCCATTATTGCAGCTGGAAGGGAAAGCTTAACCTTCCTTGTGTCCTTTGCTCAGATAAAGTGCACTAGAAATTCCACAACCTTTCAGGGATTTAGAGAGTGAAATCCAGTTCAGAATTCTTATAATAGACTAGCCGTCCCCTGCCACACGTTGCTGTGGCCCAGGCTGGTGAGCTGGAAAATAAAGTAATGAGAAAGTGGGTTGTAGGATTTTTCAGGCTATATGGCCATGTTCTAGAGGCATTTTCTCCTGACGTTTCACCTGCATCTATGGCAAGCATCCTCAGAGGTAGTGAGGTCTGTTGGAAGCATCCTCAGAGGTAGTGACCTCACAACCTCTGAGGATGCTTGCCATAGATGCAGGTGAAACGTCAGGAGAGAATGCCTCTAGAACATGGCCATATAGCCCGAAAAAACCCACAACAACCCAGTGATTCCGGCCATGAAAGCCTTAGACAATAACGAGAAAGTGTTGGTTTCTAATATATGTAATTTCTTTATGCTTGTGGGTAAACAGCATTTTTTGTTGTTACTTTGTCAGTGTTGATGTAGAGATTGTCTGGTTTGCCTACTCTGGAACATGCAACATACAGTTGTCCTTCTGTTGGGGTCCCTTTCAGATCTTTGATACTACACGGTATATCTGTCATATGCATATGTGTGTGTATCGTATCTATCTATCTATGGATGGATGGCTCTTTGCCAGGAGGGCTTTGATTATGTTTTCTTCCCCTGGTGAAGGGAGACTGGATGGCTTTAAGGCAGCATTTCTCAACCTAGGGGCCAAAGACCACCAGAAAACACAGTATTTTCTGTTGGTCATGTGGGTTCTAACTAAACGGTTCAGCCCCAACTTATCTATCTGAACGTATCTCCCTTTATGAACCATCTCAGAGATTAAGATCTTCTGGGGAGACCCTGCTCTCGGTCCCGCCTTCTTCACAAGCATGATTGGTGGGAATGGGAGATGGGGCTTTCTCAGTGGTGACCTCTCGGCTGTGGAACTCCCTCCCCAGTGAAATCAGGTCAGCCCCCTCCCTCCTGACCTTCAGGACGCAAGTAAAAACATGGCTCTGTGACCAAGTTTTTGGCTAATAATGCTGTGAAATAAGTAAAGTAGACTTATGTGCAGTAATGACCGGAACGGCCTTGGACTATGTCCTCAGAGTACGTGATTTTAAAATTGTGTTTCATGTTTTATTCTTTTTAATTTGTTGTAATGTACGTGTCTATTTTCAATTGTCTGTTGATGGCGTCAAATTGCTGCTGATTGTAAGGCTGCTCTGAGTCCCCTTTGGGGTTGAGAAGGGCAGGATACAAATATAGTAAATAATAAATAATAATAAATTGTTGGTCTGCTGACTTTTAAGAGTCTTTTATCCTATCTTATAAAAACAGTTGTTTCTATGGTTTTAAAAATCGAGCTTCCCATAGGAGATTCCATCTGAACATGAGGAAGAACTTCCTGACTGTGAGTCCCATTCAGCAGTGGAATTCTCTGCCCTGGAGTGTGGTGGAGGCTCCTTCTTTGGAAGCTTTTAAACAGAGGCTGGATGGCCATCTGTCAGGGGTGTTTTAAATGCAATATTCCTGCTTCTTGGCAGGGGGTTGGACTGGATGGCCCATGAGATCTCTTCTATGAAAGGCATCAGAATCCATTTGATCTTGGAAACTAAGCAGGGTCAGCTCTGGTTAGTTCTTGGATGGGAAATCACCACAGAATATCAGCCATTTCAGGCTATGATTAAGAAGAAACTTTTGAAAATACCTCCCGCAAAACCAACTAATTAACTTGCTGGCCCAACCTGGCCAACTCCTCTACTAGTCCATACCACCTTGTCACATCATTGGAGAACAGATTCTTGGGTTTGATGTGGAATCCAGTGTTGTGGGTAATGACTAAGTAACTGTGGGTCTGTTGCTGTCCCTTGGCCTTCATGTAAAACTGGGAGCCCGCCAGGTTCAATTTTGGAATGATTTGGGAGAGAAGGAGACAGCGTAATTGAGGGGTCAAATTATCTCCCCCCTCCAATATCCCTAAATCTATAGACACTCCAATCAATCACTTTCCAACAGACCTTTTGTGAGCGAATAATCTCTCCACCGAAGTGTGGCTCTCAAGTTTTATTCTTTTCTCTTCCCTGAGATTGCAAGTGAGCACACGTGTGGAGGTGGTTGTCTTTCTTTAATCACAGCACAGAGCATTTATAGGTTATTTACAGTAATGTTTTGTATCTTGAGTGAATGCTTTACTAATTATGGTAATAAAAACGGCAATAAAAGGAACATTCCCCGTGGAGGAATATATTTGGAGGCCATGCCTGGTTCACTTGTAAGCTGAGCTGTGATAGAAATCGCTCATCCGCTCAGTGGTGTAAGGAATAAGGCAGTTACGAAATGGGCTGCCATGGATCAGAGCGTTGACATATAGGGCTCCTCACCTGTTTGGGAGGGAGGGAGGGGGTGGGTGGGAAGGCACCCTTGCTGAAAGAAGTTGAGGACAGAGGTTTGGTCCATTCAGTAAGGATTTTGGGCTGCATGTCCACATTTGGGACTTAACATTTGGGGAAAGGGTCACTTTTTGTATTGTCGAAGGCTTTCATGGCCGGAATCAATGGGTTGTTGTAGGTTTTTTCGGGCTATATGGCCTCACTACCTCTGAGAATGCTTGCCATAGATGCAGGCGAAACTTCAGGAGAGAATGCCTCTAGACCATGGCCATATAGCCCGAAAAAACCTACAACAACCCAGTCACTTTTTGCATTTCTGTCTGTCATGCTGGCATCTTTCCAGAAACAAAGTGAAAATCCCTTGACAATTTATTTGGTAGCCTTACCGCATTTCAGTTGTTAGGACACATTGAAATTTATGTGTGTGGTAGCCGCTCGGCATTGTGCATTGACAATCCATTGCAAAGTTTGTAATTTCTCTGTGTATGGTAGGGATGTTTTCAATTTTTTAAACAAGAGTCACTAAAATTGCCAGTCATTTTTGCAAGGCACTGCTGTATTTCTTACTTTCTGTTTTGTTACACTGGGAAATTACAGAATATCTCCGGTTAACAGTAACATGCCAGACTCAAAATATAGCTTGCAGAAATAAAATCAATGTGTTTCTTTATTGATTTCAGCTGAGCCTTTCAGTGAGTTCCGCTACTTGCAGAGGCTCGCTTTGCGAGATGCCATTGCAGTGAAGTGTCATGATACAATTCTTGCAATGTCCTTGTTTGCTTCTCAGGAAAAGATTCAGCCAGGTAAGAAGAATGAGGACAGAGTTTGTTATAAAATGTATGTATATGCTTGAACTGCTTCCCTTACTTACTTACTTATTTACTTAGGCAATCCCTTATTGTCCGAGTAGGATAATCCTCCAGGGTGGGTCCATAGATGACTGAGGAGCCCTATTCTTGATCTGTATCTTCTCCCGCAGTGAGGGCATCGGTTTCCGGGTGGAAGGCGATCCTGGTCATGGTTGGCTTGACATGCTTTCCTCTTGGCACATTTCTCTCTTTCACCCTCCATTCGTGCCTCTTCAAATTCTGCAGCACTGCTGGTCACAGCTGACCTCCAGCTGGAGTGCTCAAGGGCCAGGGCTTCCCAGTTCTCAGTGTCTATGCCAGAGACTTTAAGGTTGGCTTTGAGGCCATCTTTGAATCTCTTTTCCTGTCCACCAACATTCCGCTTTCCGTTCTTGAGTTCGGAGTAGAGCAACTGCTTTGGGAGACGGTGGTCGGGCATCCGGACAACATGGCCAGTCCAGCGGAGTTGATGGCGGAGGACCATCGCTTCAATGCTGGTGGTCTTTCCTTCTTCCAGCAGGCTGACATTTGTCCTCTTTGATTGTAGGTGAACTATAAATCCCAGCAACTACACCCCTCCCCAACCCCACCAGAATTCAAATTTGGGTGTATCAGGTATTTGTGTCAAATTTGGTCCAGTGAATGAAAATACATCCTGCATATCAGACATTTTCATGGCGATTCATAACAGTAGCAAAATTACAGTTATGAAGTATTAACAGAAATAATGTTATGGTTGGGGTCACCACAACATGAGGAACTGTATTAAGGGGTCGCGCATTGGAAAGGTTGAGAATCACTGATCTAAGAGATGGAGACGTTTAAAGATAAGGAGCAAAAGCTTGACACTGAGGTGATAAGAAGGGAGGTTTACTGGATATTTTTTCAAAGGACCCCCACCCCCAATACGTACACAGTATATTGTCTTTTGTGAATTTTTTGGGGGTGAGGACTGGATAAATGGCTATCATCCATCAAGTCAAAAATGAGCTCTTTGTACAGCTAGAAAACGTTTCTAGAGATTCTAGAATCTCTAGCCAAGTGGTATAGAAATACTGTAAATAAATACCGCTTTGAGTCCCCCTAGGGATGAGAAAAGCGGTATAGAAATACTGTAAATAAATAAATAGCCAATGCTTGGTAATACGCACTGCCCATGCTGGCTTCGGGATTCTGGCAGATACGTCCACAAAGTAAAACTTAAAAGCTCTTGTTCTCTGAGAGAAGCTGTTTTGTTGCTGTTCTTACTTGCCAGGTGGAAGATCTCCAATGAAATCCTCAGAGGCCCCCATGAACTTCTTGGAAGGGGGCAGCTTGGCTGAAGAGTTTCTGCGCATCGAACGAGAGCAGATGGTCCGCCTGGGGGACCTCACCTTCCCAGAGTCCGTTCGATATGTTTACAAGCCTCTGGATTATGCCTGGGAGCCACACCAAGATTATGTGCATCGATACTGCCAGTCTCCCAAGGAGGTGCTTTTTCTTGGCATGAATCCTGGACCTTTTGGTATGGCACAGACTGGGGTAAGCAGACATGGGCCAAGTTATGGAGAGCAAGTTAAACTTCATAGGTCTAGAAGGTAATCTACAGTAAAACTTTGTCTCACAGGCTTTTCTTTTGACTTAATATAAGTTTTTATTATTTTTTCATGTCAAGGTCATTGCATACATAAGTATAAAGCTGATAAAAATAGAAGGAGCACAAGTGGCTAAATAATTTTGAACCAAAACCAGACAACAGTGACCATGTTGTCTGTAGCTTTAAACAATTCCTCTGTATATGAGGCAGGGCTTTGCAGGCAAGCATACATATGCAGAGTTGTTTGTTCTGCTCCACAGTCACATAAGGTGGAAGATTCTTCTAGGTAGTTCCATTTAGCCAGGTTGTTTTTGAGCTGTCCACTCCACTTCTGAGTCTGTTCAGAGACTTCCAAGACTTCCAACTTAATCTAAGTAACATTTAGCACAGGAGGTTTCAGGGGGGTCGCCAAAGACTATCAGAAAATGTATATTTCTGATTGTCTTAGGAACCCCTTTGCCAGAGAAGGCTGAAGATCTCTCCACCAGTCCTCTTCCTTTTTGGTAACAGATGGTGAATCCTCCCACCAAAAACCCTCCTCCACTGTGATTGGCATCTCATCCAAGGGGAGGGCTGTTTCTGAGACTCCAAGCAATGAGAGGAGAGCAGGTATGCTTGGTGCATACCAATGTGGTGTGCATGTGTGAGTGAGGGAGAGCGTGCAAGGCTGGAGGAAGGCTCGTGCCAGCAAGTCCCTTAAGACATGGGGGTTCTGTATGGGAAGTTTGCCTCAATTCTATCATTGGTGGGGTTCAGAATGCTCTTTGATTGTAGGTGAACTATAAACCCCAGCAACTGCAACTCCCAAATCGCAAAATGAACACCACAACTCCCCCCCCCCCCCCCCCCCCCCCCCCGCTCAACCTCACCAGCATTCAAATATGGTCATATTGGGTATTTGTGGCAAATTTGGTCCAGTGAATGAAAATACATCCTGCGTATCGGATATTTACTTTACGATTCATAACAGTAGCAAAATTACAGTTATGAAGTAGCAACAGAAATAATGTTATGGTTGGGGGTTATCACAACAGGAACTGTATTAAGGGGTCGCGGCATTAGGAAGGTTGAAAAACCCTGATTTAGGAGAATTTTAGTATCTTAGAGTGAAATGCTGCCTCATTATCTGCTCCCTTGTTTCTAGAGCAATAGAAAGCAAAATTTTCCCCGCATCTGTGTGCTACAGCATCGTATATTTTAAGTTAGAGAATGAGTGCATTTTACCCATCAAAGATTGGGGAAATACTGCTAGCGAACTTGTGGCCCTTCAGATGTTGTTGAGCTCCCATCACCCATGACCATTGACCACGCTGACTGGGATCAATGAAAGTTGGACTCTTAACAGCAGTTGGAGGGCCACATGGCCACCAGCTGTGCTATATGCTGTATTTTATGTCCACCAATAATAACACACTCTTGCTGTTATAAGGTTAAAAATCTGCTTAGCCTATCAGCTACACTTTGCAAAAATATATAAAGGACAACCATTTTTTAAATTTGTTTCTGATGTGACCTGCCCAAAAAGTCATGTTCGCAACATGATTATGTTTGTTGAAAAAGAAATCACAGGAAATTGTGGTTGTTTGGCTAATTTTTATTATATGTTAACTTTACAATCCTAATTTATGAGCTCTTCTGGGCTGGAGGATGCCTCTTGTTATCTGTCTGGCTTCCTGCACGTGGCATGTACCATGTGGGCGGAAATGGTGCTCCTTGTCTGCCCCGATTGTAGCCGAGTCAACACTTTGAGAGATAGCTCAGCTTCTCCTTTGATGGCGTGCCAAGAAAGGAAAGGAGTAGGGAACTGATAGCACAGCAAAGTGCTTGCTGAGATATTGTGAAGAGGAAAGTTAAACTTGTGTGGGTGTGTAAAGTGACTGCTTTTGCTCTAGATGCCAAAGGTACTTAGCCCTCTAATGGATGTACTGCTGAAGGGCCCTGGACAATCTTCATTTACTTAAACTGCAATGGCTGTAGGAATTAGGTTCCAGCTTGCAAAAAAGCAACAGCTTCTGTTTCCTACTGTTTGCCTGCACTTCAGACAAGCTGGTTTAGTAGCCATTTCCTCTTCCAAGGGGGATTCCTAGAAATTACAGTTCTGTCAGGGGATCGTAGGAGTCACTAACAAAATTCTCAGTATTCTTCATGTGCATTAAGCTCAAAACAATTGGCTTGTCAGTTTTGATTTCTTATTTGCGATGATGATGATGATTATGCTCCCTTTCATAGAATCATAGAATCAAAGAGTTAGAAGAGACCTCATGGGCCATCCAATCCAACCCCTGCCAAGAAGCAGGAATATTGCATTCAAATCACCCCTGACAGATGGCCATCCAGCCTCTGTTTAAAAGCTTCCAAAGAAGGAGCCTCCACCACACTCCGGGCAGAGAGTTCCACTGCTGAACGGCTCTCACAGTCAGGAAATTCTTCCTCATGTTCAGATGGAATCTCTTCTCTTGTAGTTTGAAGCCATTGTTCCGCGTCCTAGTCTCCAGGAAGCAGAAATCAAGCTTGCTCCCTCCTCCCTGTGGCTTCCTCTCACATATTTATACATGGCTATCATATCTCCTCTCAGCCTTCTCTTCTTCAGGCTAAACATGCCCAGCTCCTTAAGCCGCTCCTCATAGGGCTTGTTCTCCAGACCGTTGATCATTTCACCCAAAGTGGAACCCAAGCCACTCACAGATAACATTCGTTAAAAAAAAATACAATGAAAAACAAAACTAGATAAAACAAACAAACAACAAAACAACAGCCCGAAGGCACCAGATTCTTTCTGATTTTGGAAACTAAGCAAGGTCAGCCCTGGTTAGTAGCTGTATGCAGGCCCGTAGCCAGGATTTTGATTCGGGGGGGGGGGCTGAGTTGATTCCTGAAAGGGAGTCTACCCTAGCAAACCTTTTGTATCATTATTCCAATACCCCCATGCATATGGGATATATTGAGAATGGTGATCAGATCATGATATGAATAAACATAACAGTTTAAATAATGTACCAGTAAGGCCTTCTCACGGACCACCATGAGAATTTGGGGGGGGGGGGGGTTGAAGCCCTTCAAGCCCCCCCGGCTATGGGCCTGGCTGTATGGGAGACCACCAATGAATACCAGGTGCTGTGGGCTATATTTCAAAGTACAGCTACCTCGAACTATTCCTTGCCTTAAAAAAAAAACCTTGTGAAATTCATGGAATTGCCATAAATCAATCAGAAATTTGATGGCACATAAACCCACACAGAGGTAGTTTCTCCTTCAGATTGCTGTCTTGAAATGTATCCACATTCTCCCCAAATTATCCATTTATGTGTGCTTGAAAACATCTCTCTTTCTTTTTGCAATTAGTTTCCTGTAATTAAAGTTTTTTCCTATATTTCTTTCACTAATGTATGCATTTTTGGATACGCTATTGTTTTGCAGAAAGCTTGCTGTTTCCTGTGCATTTGGGCTAGCTAGTTTTTGAGGCAGCTTTTAAAAGCTCATAATATACAATAGTCTTGTTTATCCAACATAAACAGGCTGGCAGAACGCTGGATAAGCGAAAATGTTGGATAATAAGGAGGGATTAAGGAAAAGCCTATTAAACGCCAAATTTATTTATTTATTTATTAACTTTATTTGTATCCCGCTACCATCTCCCCAAGGGACTCGGTGCGGCTTACATGAGGCTGAGCCCAAACACAACAATACAAGCAATAAAACAACAATACAAGCAATTAAAAAACATAGACAATAAGATAAACAACATTATCAATAAAACAACACACAATTAGAAACAGAGGGGAGGCCAAATGTAAAGTTAAAATTGGAAATATGCTGGGACATGAACGGAAGATGATACTGGTGTTTGTGAAAGGGCATACGAGCAGACTTAGAAAATGTACATTATGATTTTACATATTAAGCACCAAAACATCATGTTTTACAACAAATTGACAGAAAAGGCAGTTGAATACACAGTAACATTATGTAGTAATTACTGTATTTACAAATTTAGCACCAAAACAGACAAGGGTTCTTTCTTTCTCCCACCCTGGATATTATTCCGGGTGGGAGGCAGACTTCATTGGATAATACAGAATGCTGGATGAGTGAAGGTTGGATAAGCGAGACTCTACTGTAGTTCTCTTCTTAGATGGTGTTGACAGATGGGTACAACACTCGGAGCTGGCACTTCTAGGGGAGAATTCACTACAAAAGTCTCTCCTTTCTGGGTCATGTTACCTTCTGGACTCTTTAGCTGGGTAGATGTGGTTGATTTGTCTCCTTCGTTTCCCCTTGATTCTGATTTCCCTGTGAGGCTCTTCACAAAATAGCTTAGATTCACTGCAGATAGTAACAAAGACCAGACAAATCCCTCTATTTCCTCACTAGTCTCCATAATACAACTATTTCCCCATCTGACTATGGTTTCTAAGTCATGATTATTGGTTTCCCCACCCCCTTTCAGGTGCCATTTGGAGCAGTGCAGCCTGTCCGAGACTGGCTCCAGATACGTGGGGAGGTTTCTAGGCCAGCATGTGAGCACCCCAAGAGACCCATCCGGGGCCTGGAGTGCCCCCAGACGGAGGTGAGTGGGGCCCGCTTCTGGGGTTTCTTCCGCTCCCTGTGTGCCGGTCCTGATGTCTTCTTCCGCCGCTGTTTTGTTCACAACCACTGCCCATTGCTTTTCGTCAGCGAGAGTGGGCGCAACCTGACTCCGGCAGACTTGCCAGCAGCCCAGCGAGAACAGCTCTTGCAGGTCTGTGATGATGCGCTGTGCGAAACGGTGAAGCTATTGGGCATTGCGATGGTCATTGGTGTGGGACGGTTTGCGGAACAGCGGGCCCGCAAGGCCCTGGCGGCCTCTGGTATTACCGTGCGGGTCGAAGGGGTGATGCACCCGTCACCTCGCAACCCTCAGGCTAATAAGGGCTGGGATGCTATCATGAGAGCAAAACTGGAAGAGCTTGGCGTGATGCCTCTCATCACAGGCTGATCTGCTGATGGGACCAAGACGCAGAAAAAAACTCTGTGCTATTTCTTCCTCATCCTTTGAGTATCATGTCTTCTGGATATGCCAGTGGCAGAGAAGCTGCTAGCCTTGGGTTAAGACATTACAAGCAGAGCTGGACAAAGTGCTGATTTTTAGGCGATGAAGGATTCCAAGGACAACAGTACAAAGAAGGAACTTTTTGAAGCTCTGCATACAGACTATTCTACTATGGACTCTACAGTAATCTTCTGCATACACTACTCTTATTTGCAATCCTAGACTGACTTATAATCCACTTTTTCAGATTCTTCTGGAGCCCAATGATGAGACATTTCCTGGATTTGGTCTCTATGTCTATTTCCATGTGTTTTGGTGCTAAAACTTCGTCAGAGGGATGTATAGAAGCTCATACAGTTGCTTTTTTCATTTGAATTATTCTGTCTGCTGTTGAATTCCTCATGGTCAGTGCATTGTGCCTCTTTTGTAAGCTGCCCTGAGTCTCCTTCGGAGTGAGAAGGGTGGAATATAAATGTCAATAAATAAATGCTTAAATAGTCAAGTTGAATTGTGGATGTATTAACAATATGTTGGCCAAAATATTGGGGCGGGGGGGGGGGGCTTCAATGTGTGAAGCAGCCTGTATAGATAAATCTTTGGTTCTTCTGGCCCAGTAAGGTCTGCTCTAACCGCCAGTAACTCTCTAAGGCCCATCCAAGGGCACATCAACACTGACCTGTTATCCTGAATGCAGAGTGTAATCGGTTCCATGGCAACTCCAGGTTGCTATTGCTGCAACTCCAACTGTCTGTTAATTAGGAATGACCAACCTGTTTGAAGATGGCTATAAGATAATCTGAAGCAACACTGTTGGTTCATGTCATTTTTTTCTTCAGCTAGGATCTGGGCTTCCCCTAAAATCCAGATGTTCTCATTTCATCATGTACATGTATTGGACTTCAGCTCCTAGAGCCCCAAGTGCATTATTGTATTTCCGGTGGAATACAATGTTGGGAATTGAAGTTCTATACATCATCATCTGGAGAGCCAAAGGTTGAGATCCGCTGCCAAAACTGATTGAGAAGTGGAGCATTAGACAAGAACTCATTTGAGGACTCCTGTCTGTATCCCAGGGAAAAAGCTGGTATCAATGCACTGTTATACTCATGGTATTTGAACAATAATGGACTAAATGCTGGATCTCATTATAATGACCACTTTGTTCCTTAACAGGGCCACTGAACTAACTTGTGCAAGCTGGGAACATTGAGAATATGGATGGCATTAATCTATGTTCCAGACTTTCAGAAGAAATTCGGTCTACTATCTAATCTTCATTTATCATTCAACTTTGGTCTTTAAGTGGCAGCTGGGAGTTTTTGGCAGTCCAGATGTTTTGGATTTCAACTCCCAGAGAGTCCATGGTGACAAAGGGGATTTATTTTCAACACTGGGCATGTTGGCTGGAGCTTTATTGCTACTGGTTTGAAGTCATTGCCTGATGCCATTATTTTATTTGTTCCACATAACCTAGACGGGAGTGACTTTTGTGTGACAAGAGAGCTGCTCTCAAGTAGAATAGAGAAGAATGGATTAGTTGATCAAATCAGTGGTCTTATCTAGAATAAAACAGCTTAATCTGTTGAAAGATGTAGCTAGCTACTATACAAATGTAGTTCAGCTTTTTTGTGTGTCTGTCAGTAGCGATTTGAGAAACTGCAAGTTGCTTCAGTGTAAGAGAATTGGTTGTCTGCAGGGACATTGCCCAGGGGATGCCTGGATGTTTTACCATCCTGTGGGAGGCTTCTCTCATGTCCCCGCATGAGAAGCTGGAGCTGACAGATGGGAGCTCACCCTCCTCCTCATATTTGAACCACTGACTTTTTGGACAGCAGTTCTGCCAGCACAAGGGTTTACTATGATGATGTTACTATGACATTTTTTTAAATTGGGCATTCATTTTGGCTCCCCCATATCACCACTTTAATTATGAAAAACAAATGTGAAACTTGAAAAGTTGGGGCTCTTTCTAACAACATTTGTAAAACTTATCACAAATGGGAATAAAGATCCAGCCAGCCTGCAGTTTCATGACAGAATTCTATCTTGAAATCAGTATTCTAGTGTTTTGCAAAACTGGAGCAATTTTACTTTTCTTCGGGAATATATATATATATATATATATCAATGTTGTGTCTGGCATGTCACCATGACACTGAGTACTGGTGTGTTACCGTGATAAGAAAGTTATCACCTTCCCCCACTATGATGAGGAAAAGAAAAAGATGAAATAAAACGATTGTGAACAAACAATTGTTTATTAAATTGTATGCCATTACACACTCAAGAAAAGTAAAAATGTGTCAATTGTTTTTCATTTTCTCAAAATGTGTTAAATTGTTTTATTATTTGTTAAAATTTTGTGTGCAAAAAGAAAGCATGGTGTGTGAGCGTTTTTGTGTGCAAAAGTACTTTTCTTTGCAGAAGGCACAAATGAAAAGTTTGCAGAAAAAACTCTGAGAAATGCACAAAAACTTCTATAATGTCTCAAGGCCCTTTTGTCAAGGACTGACATCTGTTTTTGGTAGCACTGTGCAATACAATTTTGTCCCTGGATTATAAATGCCATTTTCTAATTGTGTCTATCATTAAAAGATTGACAAAGTTTAATAAGTTGGAAAAGTTTTGTTTTTGTGGGACATCCTGTAGCACATTTGTTCAGTGAATATCTCATTGAGTCTCAACCAATTCAACATAGTTTGTGGCAGCCACAAAAACAAAGTTTCTGAAACAGGAAATAACACTTTTCAAACAAGGAATGGATTTTTTTACATAATCTAATGAGCCCATTTTATTTACGTAGATATTATTGTATTTTTGAGGCCTCTTTTGATCCGAGTTCCAAAAAAGAAAAAAAGTAGACTGGGAGGCCCAGCCACCTTGATATCAGGAAACAACCAACAGGATTAAGGATGGAATTGATGTTACTATGGCCATGAGAAGTGTATTTACAAGGAGTAAAGCTGGATTTCCAGAACTTGTGATACACGAACAGAATTTCAACATTTCTAGGAGTTAAAGCATAAAGGAATCATGACTTAGGGCCCTTCCACACAGCCATATATTCCAGAATATCAAGGCAGAATATCCCATAGTGTCTAATTTGAACTAGTTTATCTGAGTCCACACTGCCATATATCCCAGTTCAAAGCAGATAATGTGGAATTTTATTTAGCTGTGTGGAAGGGGCCCAGTTTAAAACAGACATTGTGGGATTTTATGCCTGATATTCTGGGATATAGGGCTGTGTGGAAGAACCCTTAGTTGCATGTTTCTATATTCATAGACCAATAGCTAGCTCTTCTGGCGCATACAAATGGCGCGCCAAGAGAGCGGGGAGCAATTTTCCTCATTTGTATGTGCCGGGAGACTGCACAAAGGGAACACTAGTAAGTTTTTCTTTTTACTTTTCTAAAGGGGCTTGTGGGGAGGGTGGTGGGTAGTCCAGACACCAGAAATAGTGCATTTATCCTGTGCCTTCCATGTAGGTGCGGAATAAATGTACTAACAAATTAATTCACTACAAACCAGGGTTTTCTTGGTTTGTAGCAAATTAATGTGGGACTGCCCAGAATGTCATCTGGACAGCCCCCTTTTATTGCAGAAGTTTCCACGATAAAGGTGCTGTCTGGATAGGCCCCTGGAATCCCAAAGTGCCAGAAGCCGAATCAATCCTGGCTGCCTCCTACGGAATCATGGGGCAATGCAATTTTGTCAGAGGTGCCAAAGAAGAAACTCCCTGCCTGCTGATTTTAAAAACTTCTTTCTGAACACCAGAATTTGACAGGATAGAGCGGCAAAACCTTAGGATTGCAACTGTACAACGTGAAAGAGACCCTGATGTGGTGGGAAAGGGGGCGGGGGCTGGAATCCAATGCTGATTCGCTAAAAACACATCTCTTTCCTCAGCTCTATGATAATGGAAACCGTTGATCATTTACCTGTGGAGGACCACCACACCGAAGTCAGAAAGTGCTACCAACCTTTCAATCCAATGAAGCTGGGGGTAGTGCCAAAGCACTGGCCAGTTGGAAGTGGTTGCTATGAGTGGTTCCCAACCTTTTGGTCTCCAGGTGTTTTGGACTTCAGCTCCCAGAAACCTCAGCCATTTTACCAGCTGTTAGGAATAGTGGGAATTGAAGTCCAAAACACCTACAGGCCCAAAGGTTGGGAACCACTGCTTAGACACTACATTTTGAAGCTAGGTTTTAAAAGGAAGCTGAGGGTCTTGGCACAATGGACCTATTTGGCTACATAGGCTAGCACAGCAGTTCCCAAACTGGGTTCTCCGGAATCCTAGGATTCCACAAAAGCATCATACGAATTTATTTATTTATTTACAGCATTTTTATCCTGCTCTTTTCAGCCCAAAGGCAACTCAGGGTGGCATACAAATTGGCAACAATTAGATGCATCAACATACATACATCAGTTAAAAACATTTAAATCATATGATAAAATCTATATAGGTAAAGGTAAAGATTTCCTCCCTGACATGAAGTCCAGTCGTGTCCGACTCTGGGGTGTGGTGCTCATCTCCAAAGAGCTGGCGTTGTCCATAGACACCTCCAAGGTCATGTGGCCGGCATAACTGCATGGAGCACTGTTACCTTCCCGTCAGAGGAAGGTATCCCTATTGATCTATTCACATTTGCATGTTTTCGAACTGCTAGGTTGGCAGAAGCTGGGGCTGACAGCGGAAGCTCACGTTGCTCCCTGGATTCAAACCTGCGACCTTTTGGTCAACAAGCTCAGCGCTTTAACCCACTGCTCCACTGGGGGCTCCAAAATCTATATAAAAACAATTAAAACTATAACAATCAATGTCTTCTAGTTCAACTCCTTATCCATTTACATTGTTTAAGCCGTTCTGTGTTCGTTTTCTCACCATACCGTGTTTATCTGATTACGCTGTGGTTCTGAAAGCTTGCTCGAAAAGCCAGGTTTTTACTCTTTTCCAAAAGGTCAGGAGGGAGGGGGCCTATCTAATATCCCTAGGAAGGGAGTTCAATGAAACATCTTAAAAATTGAATGAGAAATGGATTTTAAAATAAAACCTCACAAAGCCAACATCCAGAATGTTCTTTGTCTTATAAATGCCAACATATTACTACTCTCTTTGCTCAGTTCAATCTCACATTTGTAGTTATATTTAAACTATTTTCTCTTTGTGTCCAAGCTTAAACAAATCAGGCAATAGAAATGGATGAAAGAAGGAAGAATTTGGGCAGGTCCACAAATGCTTAGTAAAAACCACAGAAAGAATTAGCATTCTTAGATGGGGTAGGAGTCTTCTGAAGATTTCCATGAATTGAAAAGTTTGGGAATTGCAGTTCCCAAAACCAATTCAAACTTCATCTTGTTGTTGCTTTAGCACTGTTTTCCCATATGCCAAACTTGTGGGTCAGTAGCACCATGTATGAAATTAATTTCTATTTTATTGGCTAACTGCTTGATTTTTTTCTTTGAAGGAAGATGCTTTAAACTCTTCTCTCCCCTCCCCTTAAC